AACGAATGTCGTTGAGAGGTTCCAGAAGGGATCCCATGCAGCCTTTCTAGCCAGAGGAACGTGATGGTGATATGGGACTTCTTTAAAGGGAGAGGGATGGGGGCTTAACAGCGGGGAAAGTTGCCCGGATTTGTGGTAAACGTTAGAGCCTCAAGCCGTCTGCCCCTGACCCGTGTGACTATCCCGTGGGTGTGTGCGTTCAACAAGACACCATGAGCCAGAGCCGTCATGTGGCTGTAGGGTAACGTCACTGAACAGAGGCTGCCCAGAATATCGGCAGTCGTGTCAGAGTTGGGCATATGTAGCTAACCGCCCGTGGCTGCGCCCCTCTTCTCGGGGTGGATGTATGGACGTGGGCGGGCGCTGTAGGGCGAACTCATCCCTGACGGCTTCGGGTGGGTGGCTGCAGAGGAGTCTATGTAGGGATGGACGTAGCCCCGTGAGTCCGTCTGATGCAAGGTGTGAACTGTCGTATCTGCTCTCTGCCTCCCTGCAGCATGGACAAGGACAGCCAGGATGTCCACCAGGTGCTGAACGAACTCAAGACCAAATTCCAGGAGATGAGAAAGATGATCAGCGCCATGCCCGGCATCGGCGTGAGCCCCGAGCAGCAGCAACAGCAGCTGCGCGGCCTGAGGGAGCAAGTCAGGACCAAGAATGAACTGCTGCAGAAATACAAGAGCCTTTGCATGTTTGAAATCCCCAAGGAGTAGGAGGGAAGGGACGGGACGGGACTCTGTTGTATGGAACTGAGACCCCAGGGGAAAGCAAGACATCTCCTCCCCTTCTTTTCTGTCTTCTTCCTACAAGGTTGCTGCTGTGTGGATCACAGCCATGTGACATTAACCCGGGAGAACATTGTGTACCTGACGTATGATGATTGCAGCGGTACGTTTGCTTTGATCTGCTGGGGGACTGCGTGTATTTATATATATATCTCTGTTCTGGAGTGCGTCTTTTTTTTTTTTTTTAATGCAAGCGCGCAGGAAGGATTACGCTTCCCCCTCGCTATGAGGAGTAAATAATCTGGTGGTGACATTACTGCCTGCAGCCAGAAAGAGGGGGCATTTTCTTCCCTTTTGTGGAAATTGGCACCAGGCAAAGTGGTGGGGGGACTGAAAGGAGCAGAATGAAGCTCCCTGTCCTGCTCCCAGGAGGCAGCAGATGCGGTTCCCCCTGCGTCGGTTGCAGAGCGTGTTGTCTGGAGAGACGGGATTGGTTACAACTGCTTTTGTATTTATCACCTTTATTTTTTTTGCATAAGTGATGTTTGTACCTGAGATGATCTGAGTAAAGATTTGAAAACCCTGAGTGGCACTTGCGTCTGTACTGAGCCTGCGAGGACGGCACAGGGATATTCTGAAAGCACGGGAGACCGCGGAGCTGGCCTGGGTGCTTTATCCTTCCATTGCTTTTCTAAAAGCAGGGCTGGGGCCAAATAGCCGAGTAGAGTTAGGCTGGGAATTTTAAAAGGAGTGGTCAGTGCTCAGCTCTGAGTGAATGTCACAGGGATTTAGGTACCTCGATTCCCAACTCACATAGGCAGTGTCACTCCTGGTTGCCCTGGGGTCAGTCTGCCTAACCCTGTTGACTGTAGTGGTTATTTCACTTTCCGCCAGCGGGGCCGAGAGCAGAATCTCTCGAGGCCAGCTGCATGCCCCAGAGTACTTTAATCAAGGGCAGAATCCACTGCCTGCCTACATGGGCCTCTTCCTGCGTTTGGGACACTTGTCCACTACTGTGTTAACCCCCCCTCAGCTGTGGATGGAGATGAAGTGCTTTGTGCAGATCCAGTGAAGGACCCAGGCAAGTATCTAGTAAACAGCCCCATGGAGATGGGAAGGGAGATTGGCCCCATAGCCAACTAGCAGCAACTGGGCCATTCAAGTCAGTGGAGCTGCACCAGGGAAGAATTTAGCCCATAGATAGGCTGGTGACTCTGGATTAAGGCCTCTAACCTTTCATTTCTTCAGACCTGGGTGCAACTCAGGTTTAAGAGCACCACCCTGCCATGGGAGTGAGGTTTGCAGGATCCAGGCCTAGGTCACCAGTATAAAAACAGTTGTGGGTTCACCTCCTTCACCCCATGGACACTGCGGCCACCACACACTACAGCATAACAGCTGGTCTCTGCTCAAGGGATGCCTGGGACTTGACCAGGACTGAGATGTATTGGCTGGGCAGGGGGAAGTTTGTCTAATGCCTGCCGATACTAGCAGGAGTGCTAGCCAGGCCTGCTTTGCCTTCGCTTTCACAAGAAGCAAATTCACCCCCCAATATTTCAACTGTATAAACTAGAGGCAGGAGGAGAAGTAGACTTGACGGGGAAGAGTGCAGCAAGATTGGGGATATGGGCGGTGGTGGATTGGGCCATGGGCTGCTCCATCAATGTAGCGAGGTGGCGCGAGCCCGTTCTGCACCTTAGTTGTACCCACTTAAAATAGAGTTGGATGGGTCTGATTCATCCCTGATGTAAACACATTGGCTTCAGTGCACTGGACCTGGAGATGAGAATCCGTCCCAGTGGGTTTCCATGGAAGTAACTGAGGGCACCTCCAGTTACAACTCATGAAAATGGCTGAACATTGGATCATGTTCAAATAGAGCAAGGGGCAGTTTGCTGAGTTCTAGCTCAGAATTTCCTGCTGCCTGCCTGCCCCTTCCATGGGAAATGGAGGTAAACACGGTTATCATAGGCGATCTCGGTAAGTAGCACTGTATCTCACTGGCTAATAAAAGTATTATGTGTACAGTTTCAAGCATGTGTGCCCAGGGTTGGCTGGGTCCCAGCCTTGTGAAGTGCTCTTATAAATTATGATGAAATACTGTGCCAGTCACTAGAATGCAGGTTATTTGCATATAACACAAGGACACAGAGAAGCCGGTAGAGTCCCCAGAAGGGAGATAAAGCTCATTCCTATAAAGAGCAACAACGAGATCTGTTTTGAAATTGCTTTCCCTTTGCCAGCCAGAACGAAAGTGTTTCTGGTAAGGTCAGGGACACCATGCTGGGATAGTCCAAATTACCAGCAGCTTGCTTATTATATGCCACTCTGCAACTCATTTAAAATAGTGCTAAACTCATTTCTTTGGGAAGATGCAAATGTGGCCTGGGATAAACCTTCCTTGTTTCCGTGAAACAGAACTCAAAAATACGCAATAGAAGATGAACACGGGCAGTGCATTTCTGCCAGCCATTGTCTAAGATCAGTAAATTTGGCATCTATTTCAGATGGTGAAATAATCCATTTCGTTTTCAATATACATTCCAGTGAACTGTGCACATACTGAAGAGATGGAAGAATCAAGTACAAGTCCAGAGAAATGTGGAGTTGCAGGTGAAAGTGACCCCTTCAATTTAAAATCCAGTCACCTTTTTTTTTTTTTTTTATTAAAGCTGTTTCAGGTGCTACATCAGTCTCCCTGCCTATTTTTATGGTTTCATAAGCACATTTTCCTTATCTTTAAATTAAAAATATATTTCTGGCCCCTATTGCTGGGGTAGGGGGCAAGGGAAATAACAGGGAAAACTGACTAGTGAAACAAGGAGACTGGCTAAACACAAAAGGCCTAATTTTTCAGAGGATCTGAGCGATTGAGATCAGTGGGAGCTAGTGGTATTCAGCAGCCCTGAAAAAACAGTCCTAATGTGTTTTCAAAATCACCAAGTAAACCAAACTAGAAAAAAAAATGAGAATTTATTCCTTCCCCATTGTCTTTCAGTTCTGGCAATCTTGGAACAGTAGTTCTTTCAAATGCAAAGATGGGGGTTTTTTTAAGTGGAATGTTTCCTTCAGGTGTGTTGCAAAGGAAAAAAGGTCTCTCTGATTTAAGTGCAAATTAGTATTTGTAAAAAGCCTTTTATGGTTGAATTGCAGATGTTTCAAGTGTGAAAAACTGGCTAAGAGATTATTAGTTTTATTACTGTAGTGCCTGGTCCTAGGAGCGATTTTAAGTGATTATGAAGTTGTGTCATGTCTCATTTTACACACATTTCCTATGACAAATGCCCGGCTAGTATTTATGATCACATGCACTTATAGGCTAGGATCTGAAATCCTTCACTTTCCCATCTGCCCTCTAGATGTCACTGTATGGTTCAATGCAAGGTACAGTCATTAGAAAAAGTTTTAGCCCAATCAGTGATCTGTTTCGGCAGGACAGTTCGTTTCACCCCTCCCCCTAATTACTTTGTTGTGCTGAAATAAATCTTGTCAAGCCCTTTCAGTAAGGGGAACCTTTGGTCTGGGGATGAAGGGAAGTATGTAGAGGAAAGGTTTTGATTTGAACAGTTGCTCAGCTTCAGTATAGATGTTCCATACCACATAGGGTGAGGCTTTGAGAATGCTGAGAAACACGGAGAGGAACCAAAGACAAACCCAGCACAGATTAATTTAAAAAACGGTTTTATTTTTGTAGAAAAAATAGTAAACATAAAACATGGAGCGTAGAAAACACTTGGATAAGATTTTGTTCATGTCCAGGACACACACTACCCTACATAAAGTGCCTATTAAAAAAAAAAAAAATGCGCTTTTTTCTCTCCAAATCAGACAAGACAAATGTAAACAAAAGTCAGTTTTTGACACCCACCCACACCCCCATCTCTGCTTCTGTAAGAGGGGCCAGTGGAGAGGATTGCAACAGCCGGAAGTGTCCTCCGGCAGCTCTCCTGGCTCAGAGAAATGCCCACGCACATGCACACACAAAGCCCCTTTCCAGAGCTCAGTGTTGGCTGGTTTCTCAAGTCCAAACCATATCTCCCCCCCAAGTCTCTTCTGTAAGGCAGTGCACTGGCCCATGCTGGCGAAGGTGGGGAGGTGTCTTAGAGTCAATGTCTTTCCACTCCCAGGCGCCTCATCTGTGCTCACAAAGTCCTCAGTCTCTCACCCTTGGGGGGGGAGGGTGTCCCCAGCAGCAGCCCCCCCCATTGCACCCCAAAAGTGGGTGCAGAGGGCAGCAGATGCAAATCATCCCCTTGGGCAGGAGGTGGGAGCTAACCTGCCCCCGGGGCAGATGCCACCCTGGCTGGGGCACATACCACCCCTGGGCAGCCAGAGTTTATGGTAAAACAAGCTTCCCCCCCCCCCCCATGTATCTCCCTCCCTTTTGGGGGAGGTAGGGGAGCGGGGCGGCAGGAGGCTCCTAGCTGATCACACAGCGCTCCTTGTCCTTGGCTTGCCCGCCGCCGATGGCCTTCTCCCGGATGTACATGAGGTCACTGTGCACGCTGGGCCGGCGGGCAAAGGGGGCCACGATGCCGTAGGCTTCCCCGCCGCTGCCCTCGGCCCCTTCCTTCAACAGCTTCTTGCCCTTGAGCGCCTTCTTGTGCAGCATGTCACAGTACTGCACCGAGACCTTGCGGTGCAGGTCCGGGCTCATCTCGCTGGGCAGCTTCGCCATGGCAAAGAGTGCTTGGAACATCTGGTCCAGGCTGCTGTTTTTCTTGGCGGAGATCTCGAAGTAAGCACATTTCTGAGGGTCTGCCCCGACCAGCTGCTCAACCTCCCGGGGCTCGACCTCCCGGTAGAAGTCTCGGTCGCCCTTGTTGCCACAGATGACCAGGGGCACCTCCATGTTCTCCTTGGTCTTGTTCTTCAGGCACGACTTGGTCTCCAGGATCTGCTGCTTCAGCCGCTGCACCTCCTCGAAGGAGTCCCGGTTATCCAAGCTGAACACCAGGATGAAGACATCTCCTGTAGGAGAGAGGGGGCACAGAGAGAGGGCACGTTAGGACCTGGTCCTGAATGGAGGCAGAGCCCTGTCCCCAATCAGCTCACCAACCTCAGCACTGCCCTAAGGGCTGTCCATAAACTACCGCACTGCAGTATGTAAAATTGTGTGTTTGTTTCAGGGCTGGGGGGGGGGGGGGGGGGCTTCTTCAAAAACAAAATCACCAAAATATGCCTTAGGTAATTTATGGACAGCCCCTAATTAACCCTGCCACTAACCAGCAGCAGTGCTCTGCATTTCCCTATTTGCTCCCACGTTTGCCTAGGGAAATAAAGTTTGCAAACTCCCTGCACCAGGCTGTTTGCTGAGCTTGCATGCAAATTCCAGCTTGGGTGGAGGGGCTTGGCTCGACTGGGAGGGGGCAGCTGGGGAGAGAAGCAGCCATGTGAGCTCCAGGCTTTGCTTTTAGCTTTACATTGCAAGGCATGCCATGTGTGAGCAGCCCACACACCCCATCCAAACCACCTGGGACACATAGGTGCTGGAAGTAGGGGGGCTGCCGCACTCCCCGGCTTGTAATGGTTTCCATCCTATACAGGGTTTACAGTTTGGTTCAATGGCTCTCAGCATCCCCGCTATCGAAATTGTTCCAGCCCCCCTGCATGGGTGTTGGGTAAACACACCCGCCCGGCCCTTGCTTCCTTCGCTTTCCTAGTGTAACCCACACAGCTTCTGGGTGTGGTGCTCTGTCCCATCTAGTGGCATCAAGACCACTTAGAGAGAGAGATTAATAAGTCTGCTCTCCAGTCTTAGCTAACAGCCCTCTGGCTTTTAGCTCATGCACGAAACTCCAGCAATCCCAGGTTCGATCCCCCCAGTGCCTATCAGTGGCACATGCAAACTGTGGGGCAGTGGGAGAAGTGGCCGAGAGAGAGCTGTGCCCGACTGACTGTCCCCTGACCCTGGCACAAGGAGCATTCCCAGCCGTGACTGTCCCCGGCTCCCTTCCCTACCCAGAGGGACGCCGCAGCCCCCAGCCCCCGGGATGGCTGGGGGACCCGCCTCGCAAGCCCCGGCCCCCCCGTACCTGTCAGGATGGAGAGGCGCCGCATGGCGGGGAAGGGGTGGTTGCCCGACGTGTCCAGGATGTCCAGCTGATAGACCTCGCCGCGGATGCTGTAGAACTTGCGGTGGAAGTCCTCGATGGTGGGCGTGTATTGCTCCTCGAAGCGGCCCGTCAGGAAGCGGGAGACGATGGCCGTCTTGCCCACCTTGGAGGAGCCCAGCACCACCATGCGATAGCAGTTCTTGGCCGGGATGCTCAGCTCGGACTCGCTCTGGCACAGCTTCTTGATCATGGCGGCGGGTCTCATGGAAGGAGGCGGCGGGGGTCTGGGGAACGGCTGGCCACTGGGCGCCCCGTCTCCTGCGCAGGCTGCGAGTCCGGTCTGAGCGGCCCCAGCCGCCGCTGGCTTTATATAGAGCTGCCCGCGCCCGCCCCTCGGCAGCGTCACAGCCCGGGGAGGCTGCCGCTTGCAGCCGGCTGGCCGGGCCCTCCGGGGGCGCGGCTTGGGGCACGACCGCTTGGCTCTGCCTGCGCTGGGGCGGGGTGGCGGGGGGAACCATCCTGCGGCATTGCTGGAGCCCGATCCCCGGGGCATGCAGAGCCCCCCACCCCTGGATGAGACGGGGCTCGTGCAATCTCCCTGGGCAATTTGCAATGACCCCCGCTCCCCACTTCCAGATGGATTCGGTGCCACCTCCCTCTTGGAGACATGGTCCCCGGCTCCCCGCTCCGCCAGAACCGACCCAGCTCCGGGCTGGTTTCAGGGCTCCCGGGCGGTTCCGGGATCTGCTCCCGGGCAGAAGTGGAGCCGGGGGAGGGGAACAATCGATGGCTATTGTCTGTCAATTATACATACAAATATGCCGGATAAGGCTTTGTGAGCCCCACAGACGGGGGGACAGGGGATATTTGCGGTTAAAGACATTGAAAAGGGGCCGTCGATTGAGCGGGACACGTTGGATTGTTGTTGACACACGCACCATTTCTGGTGTCTCTTTCAGCCCCTTGTCACTTACACCGAAGAGTCACTTATTTAGCTGCCTCGATTTCCCCCCCTCTAATGTAGGTACCAAAGTTAGCCTCCCAATCCCACCACCCAAAGCCCGTTTAGTTCCCTTTCTCCGGCGGGTCCTATCTATTCCGATGATTGCCTCCCCCCCCCCGATTTTCTCGTTTCAGTTTAGCCCCATGTTTCTATCCAGGCTGCGGGTGGCTGGGGAACTGGGCTCCCTTGTGGGTTCATTTCCTGTGTATTTCCCTCTCTCGATGGAAACAGTCTGCAGAGAAGAGGACTCATAAAACATGGAACAGGTTTTTGCGGGTCAGCTCCCACTATCCATTACACTTTCCCGTCCTCCTGATGCTGCTGGTTGGAAGCTTTTGTGATGCATTATTGAAGTCTGGCTCTTTGTATTGCCCGGGGCTTCTCACAGCCTAAAAGCCACTCACCTTGGGCGAGCAGTGGCAAAGCAGGTCCAGTAATCGTCAGCAAGCATTAACAAACCAGAAGGGTCCACTCCACTGGCTCATTACGCCGTATGCGCTGTTATTTATGTGCTGCTGCAGCAGGGCTGTTATTCTTCCCATTTAAAAAATTAGCAAAGAAAAAACGGATGCCTCGAAACACAGGGGAAAACGAATCACTGAAAAGAGAAGAGATGCCGAGATCAGAAAGTGGCCAAATTGAAGTGCCGTGTAATGCGGAGTGTCTCCGCTAGAGGGCAGCAGAGGGTGCGGTTTGCTGGTCCCTTTTCCTGGGCGCAACGTTAGGTTTTATTAAGGGTGCACAGGTCAAAAAGCACCGGAGTAAACAGATGTTAGGTGAGCAGATGGAACCCCACAAACTCAGTCACCCACGCAGATGACTGTAGAGCATCAGTTGCATCAGTTGCCAAAAGACAGAGTTAGCAGGAAATGAAAAAGTGCTTGAAACAAAATTGCTTTGGGCCAGGATGGAACCACAAGCAGTGAGCCACATTCATGGCCAGGTGAAAGTGTGGGGAGACATTAGGGTGTCAAAGGGAGCGGGGAACGCCAGCAGAACAGAGCTCTTGACTAATCTGAAGATGGCAATTTGCAGTCAGGGCTTTTATGGCAGTTTTCCAACCCATTGGCATGGCCATATGGCCCTGGGCTCCATTGCTCCATTGGCAGGGCTTATGTAGACCTTGAGTTAGTGAGCTACTTATGCAAGTGTATACGCATCAAGCACATGAGCAGGAGCAGTGCCACTGAAGTCAGTTGCTTCAATAGAACTACCCATGTGATTAAAGTTCTCCAGTTAATCATACTGCTCACAGTACTGCCACCCAAGATCAGGGCCCAGAGTGCTAGGTGCTGTACAAACACAGCAATCAATAGTTCTGCCTAGAAAGAGTTTATAATCTAAACAGACAAGACAGAGGAGAAAGGGATAGAACCTACTTGCTTGCTTAAGTACCCCATCGATTCAGGAGCCCCATGGGGACATATTACCCTGGTTGAACTGGTGCATTATGGCTGTTTTGTCGCTATGATGCAGGCCAGGATCACCATAGCTGGGGCACGGAAATGAGATGGCTTGGATTAAAATCCCAAGCAGCTTTGATTGTAGAGCAGACCCTGTATTGGAAGGGTTTATTTTCAGATGTGGCTGGAGAGAAATCCCCCCACCCCAAATATCTGACCTTGTAAGATTTAAGATGATGGACGTTTCACAAGAACAGTGCGTGAAAATCTGATACCATTGAACCTAATCCGCATTGGCCGTAAATCTGGACTCTAGCCGAATCCTAATCCAGAAGCGATTGTAAACACTGGCCATCCCTACGGCTATAAAATGCTGCTGCCTCTGGGGGGGGAATGCAGCAGCTATTTAAACAGCACACAGAAACCCAGGTGTTGGGAAACATCATAGCCAGTTGAAGCTGCAAGAGGGATTTTAGGCAGAGAACGTATAATTCCCAAATTGGGAATGTTCCTGATCTATAAATGAGAGCGCCAGGTGGTTTATTAGGTCCTAAAGCACAAGTTGATCAATCCCCGAAATAACAAAGATCACTTAATAGAAGTGGTTGACTGAAAACAACAAGGGAGTTAGGAATTGCCTGTTCCTTGGGGATAGACAAATCGAACATCTCAATCAGAATTTATCACTAACCACACGCTTAATAATCACGCCCGGGGGAGTAAAAATAGCTTGTTCAAAGCCTCCTCTCAAATTAGCTCTTCTCAGTACGTGGAAAATCCATTTGCTCCCTTTGTGAGGCTCCTCGGTGATAGGAAAGGCAGCGTGTTCTTCATCCAGACACTGCTCCATGCCACCGACACATGCTGAACGGCAAAACCAGGCGCCCGGAAATTGGGACGATGGCTGAAGGTGCAGCTAGGATCAGGAATGGACTTGAGTTTTCCATTCGGGTGCAAGCTGCAAGCAGGATGTGACCAAATTGGAGAGAGTCCAGAGGAGAGCAACAAAAATGATAAGAGGTTTAGACAACATGACCTACGAGGAAAGAATTGGGCATGTTTAGTCTAGAGACGAGAAGGCTGATGATAACAGTCTTCAAAGATGTTTATAAAGAGGACAGCGATCAATTGTTTTCTGTATCGGCTGAAGACAGAGCAAAAGTGATGGGCTTAATCTGCAGCAAGGGAGATTTAGGTGAGCTATTAGGAAAAATGTTCTAACTCTAAGGCTAGTTAAGATCTGGAACAGGTGACCTAGGGAGGTTGTGGCATCCACATCGCTGGAAGGTTTTACGAACAGGTTAGTTAGACAAACACCTCTCAGGGATGGTCTCACTATATTTAACCAACAGAGAGTCCTGTGGCACCTTTAAGACTAACAGATGTATTGGAGCATTTAACCCTGTCTCAGTTCAGGGGGGTGGACTAGATGACCTCTTGAGGCCCTCCATGAGTCAACAGCTAGTTGAGAAGCCCTGTCCTATGACTGAAATGGCTGAGGACACCTAGGTAACTTCTGCTAACCATGCCCAGGTGGGACTATTCAGGGCCAGGGAGCTCTCAATGCAGGGCCATCAGACCCACTGACCTTTCCGGTCAGACAAACCGCAACTGTGTTGTTTTTCAGGGTACGGTGCCAGGCTCATCTGTTTTCCAGCGACCTGTTTTCTCATCCACGGTTGGCTGCACACACCCCAAGATGCTGGAGCAGCCATTCTCGCAGGGCCCAAGTCAGCAGAAAGTGCAGGCGTAGAGATGATTTTGTGAGATTTCTACCCTGCGGGATCAAAAGCTGGTGGGAGTTCATGAGGCTTAAACAGTGTTCAAAGCAGCATTCGATCATGGGGGCGTGAGGGCGGCGGGAGCTTGCTGAATCCCTACAAACACACACGTCAGGTGAACATATGTTGAACCGTTCAGCGAGCATGTGGCCCAGCCATTGGGTTTACCAAGGTTCGTGATTGTCTTTGGATCTAAGACACACAGCCCCTTGCTGGCAGCAGTTAACACTGATCAGCATAACATGGCTGTTATTACCTGGCTCTCCAGTTTGGATCCTGCAGCGCGGGGAGGATGGTATTGCGTCTTTTGCACATTTTACAGATGGGTGGATGGGGGAACAAATGGGCTTATGCAATTTGCCTAAGATCATACATGGGAGCCAATGACAGGACCCATACAGAACTTCCAGTCCCCCTTTGGTCTAACCAGCAAATCAAATTCCCGCAAGCCGGGAATGGAATCCTGGTTCCCAGTCTCATGGCACTTCCTCCCAGAGCTGGGAACAGAACCCTGGAGTCCGGATTTCCAGTCCCTTGCTGTAGCCTCTAGAGACAACCCCAAATGGGAGGGACTTCATTCCTGATGTCTCCCCACTGGGGTTGTGGTGCTGACTCACCACGGCTCTCTAAAAGGCGCTCCTTTCATCAGAGCATGCAGTTACGAGGAGCGCATTGATTCTATTATCCCCCCTCACTTAGCTTAATAAAGAGCCCCAAATGCATTGTGTGTCATAGGTTTTTTCATCTCTCTTGATTAAGGGCCTTCTGTTATGCTCCGTCCGAAGCGCTGTAATAACATCTCTCCCTGCTGGAACAGAGGGGGCTTGGAAAGCAATTGGTAAATATTACTCTGGGCTTTTTCTCACCAATCTTTTGACGTCAGCCTGGAGCCAGTTATGAGCTATGGCTCCCCAGAGCCCTCTTAACAGGAGAGCTTTCTCTTTCTTCCTTCTGCTCTCGTCCCCAGGGCCGCTGCTGCTGTCACTTGCTTTCCAGAAACGTTCCCAACTTTCTGCACCTCCGTCCTTTCTCTGGGCGGGGGCAGGAGGTGACGACAGGGCTGTACGTCTCCTTGGCAGGGGGGGGCGAGTGAATGCCTCAGGGCAGGGCCTGTCTTTTGGGTCTGCCTTTGTGGAGCGCCTGGCC